TGTTGGGAGGTCACGGCTAATAGGACATCCCGATGATCTCTGTAAAGGGCGCTGCCTTGGACGTGCGGGAGAATAGGGAGGATTTTCCTGCAATACAAAAAAAAAAAAAAAAAAACGATTCATTAAAGATAATTATTTTCACACGTTAAATCCAATGACAAAATAAATATGAAATAGACATTATTTTCAACAAAATAATTTAAGAAAATACTTTAAGTCTCAAATTTTTTATTAAATAAATGACTAAATATCTCATATGAGTGTAGAGTCTACAAACTAAATAAATGATTAAATATCTCACATGAGTATGAAATTCATAAAATTACGAATCTCACATTTATACAAGACATTTGATAATTTATTTTGTACCATTACCCAATAATTTAACGACTATTGTCTATTTATTCCGAGACTAACAGTCTATTACAGTTCAATTTCCTTTATTGAATTCATCCAAACATGTTACCTCAGCAACCTCTTGTCCATTTTCCTCCTTTTCCCACTCTCCTAGATTCCGATATGCATCCCACCTCGTCAAGCACAGCAAGAGATCACCAAGAAGCTTCTTGGCTGCTCTCCTCGAACGACGATATTAGCTACGGGGATTGAAATCCCTTCTGCCCGGTGTACTCTCGTTGGGTTTTTTGCGATGTAGTAGGAGGTTAGTTAAATTTTGAAATTTTTTATTTTGATTTTGCAATAGGTGGGATGCCAATGGTGGCTAAGGGGTTTGTGAAATTCTAATTTTTTATTTTGTATCATTTGGGGCAACAATAATAGATGGGTTTGTGAAATTTTGATTTTGCAATGCAGATAATGTGAGTTGGTGGTGGCCACAATGGTGGAACAAGGGGGTGGGGGTATATGTGGTAATTAATTAAACTAAATTGATATAAAATTTAAAAGCATAAACTGGGAAATTCTACCATACAGCCCTAGTTAGGGTGTCTGTGTGTGTTTTTTTTTTTTTTCAATTTTTTTTTTCTTAGTTATCACATATTGTAGTGTTGTCTGTGATATTATTTTAGTTAAGATCTAACAGTTTTACCTCACAAATAAGGTAAGTTGCATATGATACACGCCATACCATTACCTAGTTAAAATACCATTACCTAGTTAAAATAGAGTTAATTAAAATTGTAAGAACTAAAATGACACAAAGAATAAAAGAGTCAAATGCAGAAATTACCTATCTAGGGACTGAAATGACAATGTGGGAAGAAAAGGTAGTACCCATAAGAGTCTCTTACACAAAACTATATACACTTCACATAAAAAATTAAAGATTGCTATGTATAATTAACCAACACAATAATTTCTCAAACAAGTTAAATAGAACTTTATTCTAACTCACATTAGGCAGAGTCTCTTATACAAAACCATTAATTAACCCTAATCAATTACTCGAAGACCCATTAACCTATGCAATGTCCATTACAAGATAGTGACCAAAATCCTGGTTAGCTGTCTCAAACCTTTTCTTGATAGTATCATGAGCCCTAATTAGAGCAGCTTTATTCCTAGGATATCTATCACGGACAACATTATTATTCACACACTGAAGCAAAAGAAAAGAAGAGTAAATGGGGTGGTATGATTTTAAAGCTAGATTTTGAGAAAGCCTATGATAGAATTTCTTAGAAGTTTATTCACTAAACCTTAATCGATTTCCAATTTGATGACATGTGCATTAAACTGATCATGAGTTGTGTTACTTTTGTCAATATCTCCATTCTCTGGAATCGGGAAACTCTAAAGCTGTGTTTGGTTGGAGGATTTGAGGAGGAATTTGGAAAGGGAAAAGGAAAAGTTAGGTGAAATATGAATAAAATATAGTTACATTTCACATAGTTTCACACACCTTTTCCCTTTCCCTTTCCAAATCCCTCCCCAAATCCCCCAACCAAACACACCATAACTGATTTTTCTATGGGTAAAGGGATTAGACAAGGAGATCCACTATCCATCTACATCTTTATTATGTGCATGGAGCGATTATCTAACATGATAAATTGCAGAGTGGAAAAGGGCGACTGGAAGGGTATCAAAATGGCTAAAACTTGTCCACCTATATCCCATTTATTCTTTGCTGATGACCTCCTTCTATTTGCCAAAGTGGACCTGAAGAATTGTAATGTAATCAGGGACGTCATGGAATAGTTTTGTGAGATTTCTGGTCAGAAAATAAATTTTCAGAAGTCGAAAATGTTTGTTTCAGCCTCAATATTGAACAGCAAAGCTCGTGATTTAAGCCATTGCTGCAATATTCCACTCACTCAAGACCTGGGAAATATCTTGGAACTTCAATATTGCATAATCAGGTGTCCAAATCCCAATTTCAATTCGTTACTGAGAAAATGCACAAGAGACTTTCAAGTTGGAAAGCTAACACACTATCCTTGGCTGGAAGGTCCACACTCATCCAATCTGTAACCTCTACCATGCCATCCTATGTGATGCAAACTGTTGAATTACCTTGAAGCATCTGTAAGGAAATTGACAAAGCCAATAGAAATTGCTTGTTGAGGGGGGGGGGGGGGTGTGACACCCAAAAAAAAAAAAAAAGAATCCACCTTATTAACTGGAACCAAGTGTGCAAGCCCAAAGAGTTAGGAGGTTTGGGAATCAGGAAAGCTCAAAGTCAAAATCTTGCACTTATAACCAATCTGGTGTGGAATATGCTATATAAAAAGGACAACCTATGGACACAACTCATGAAAGGAAAATATATTCGCAACAATTCTTTGTTCAATTGGCCGTCCAAAAAAGGAGGTTCACATCTTTGGAAAAGCATTGTCAAAAACAAACATATTCTAAGGAAAGGCATCAAGTGGACAATTGGGGATGTTAGACAAGTATCAATTTGAAGGACAGATGGTGTGGTGACTACCCATAATCTAAAATTTATCCAGGACCTGATTGCGATAACCAAGACAAGGTAGAAAGCATAATTGGCAATGAAGGCAAATGGGATATTAGTAGCATTGAGGAGTTGATCTCGCATCAAGACAAAATGAACATTTTGAACATCCGTCTGCTTAACTTTGTTATATACCCAGATAAAGCAAAGCTGGACCGGATCGAGTAATGGCCTATTCTCAGCTAAATCTACATATGATCTCATAGTGGCACAGATGAGCAGCACACAAACTGGAAATGGATCTGGAAGCTCAAAATTCCTCAAAAATTAAACTGATTTCTCTGGCTTTGTATGCATGGCCGCCTGCTAACAAACTAGAAGAGAGTGACTAGGGGCCTTAGAACTATGGATCTATGCCCAAGATGTGGGCTGTGTGGTGAAGATATGGCTCACCTTGTGAAAGATTGTGCTTATGCCAAACAACTCTGGGTAATTTTCAAAGATAATAAGTGGATAGGGGAAGCAAACGACAAGCCTATTCCCGAATGGCTTAGCCAAAATGCAAAAAATAAAGGTATGTGTTTCCAAAACTTACATTGGAATATTTGGTTCATTGTCATCTTGTGGCAAAACTGGAAGGCTAGAAATCACAAAGTGTTTGATAATGTGGAGGTTAAGCCAAGTGAGAGCATGAACCAAATAACTAGTTACGTTTTTGAGATTCATGATGCCTTTAGTTTTCCCTTATCTACTAAGCAAAACAACCCCATACTAACTCAATGGATTCATCTTATTGCAGGAAAATTCAAGCTCAACACAGATGGATGTGCCAAGATTCTTCCAGGAAAAGTGGGATATGGAGGGCTGTTTAGAGATGAAAAAGGAATGTAGATCCTCGGCTATTCTGGGAAGATCGAAAAAGGAACCAGTTTAGAGGCAGAAATATGGGGTGTATATCGTGCTTTAACAATCATTTTTGAAAACAACTGGACTGATATGGAGATCAAAGTGGATTGCAATGAGGGAATTGATTTGATACAAAACGAAGCCCAACAAACTTGTCCGTTCAAAGCCCTCATTTAAGATTCCAAGTCCCTGCTTGGCCGAAGCTATGCACCCTCAAACATGTGTGTACCGTGAAACCAACAGATGCACTGATGCTTTAGTGAAAATTAGAGCAAAACAACTCGAAGACCTGGTCAACATGGAAGACCCACCCGATGCAATTCGACCACTTCTCATAGCAGACATGGTTGGAACCTTGTATGAGAGGATATAGCCTCTCTTGTTTTTGTTGTTTGTTGTTGCTTTTCTATGTAAAACTCTATTATCTTTAATTTCGAAAGCACCCAAAAAAATAAAAAAGAAGAAACAAGTCTCTTCTTTCACTGTTCCTTTGTCTTCTATTTTCTTTTTGCTTCCCAACCAATTAAGCAAGAAATATCCCAAACAGTGATGCTAGAGACCTCTAATTTAGAGACTCTAAACACACCTCTAATGAGGTGATAAAGGAAAAAAAAAAAACAGACACAGCACTTACAGTGGTAGTGGGTGCCACATCACTAATGGCTATGACTGCAAATGAACTGAGCTGTTCACGAACAAGCTCGGCTCGGCTCGGCTCGGCTCGACTCGTTTAGTAAACGAGCCGAGTTCGAGCTCGCATAAGCTCGGCTCGTTTATCTTTATTTAAATTACATAATAAATATATTATTTATATATTAAATAATATATAAATATATATAAAAATAATAATATAAATATATTTTTATATTAAATAATATAAATAATATTAAAAAAATTATCGAGCCAAACTGAGCCGAACTCGAGTTTCATTAAAATTAACGAGCCGAACCGAACTCGAGCCCAATTTCTTATCAAACTAATTTCGGGATCAATAAACGAGCTCGATAAGTAAACAAGCTGAGCTCGAACTCAGCAAAGCTCGGCTCAACTCGATTCATTTGCAGTCCTATTTGTAAGTATATTTCTCTATGTTTTGTGTTTTAACATATGTTTAGTATTTGGGCAAATTATATTGGCGGTCCCTATATTTTCTTGTGTCATTGTGATCCATGAACTTTTAATTGACTCAATTTTAAACCTTAATTTGATTTTTTTTTTTTCAAATCCCAAGCTTTTGTAGATCAAATTTCTCAAAGTCCGTTATTTTCAATATATTTATCAAAATCAAGTTGTTTTGAAGTCGTCTTTTCATAACAAAAATTTAGAGTCGAAATTGTATTTGATCATACGAATTAAAAAAAATAAATAAATAAAATTGAGTAATGTAATAGAAACATGAATTTATTAAAATCGTGTACTTAAAATCCGATTTTAATGAAGTAATGTGTGCAAATCACGACTTGAAGCTAGTTCGGTTGCATAAAACTACACGATTTTCAAAGCTTTGAGCTTGGAATTTCAAGCTTGAAGAGAGCACCCCCAGGTCTTGACCCCCAAAACAACCCTTAAAAAAGGTTGATTGATCTCTTATTAGTTCTTCACTTCAATTTACAATTCAACCAAGCTCAATATTATTAGCAACTCGGATTTTTTTGAACAGAAACAAACAGACACAGATTGCGATATGGAGATTGATCATTTTAGCCATAAACATCCATTGATCTTGTTGGAAGACCTCAATGAAAACAGAGTCAAAATCCACTGCTATGGCTGTCAACAACCAATTTCAGGTACACCTTCCTACAAATGTTCCCAATGTTCCTATTTCTCATTGCACAAAGACTGTGCCCAACTTCCTCATCAAACAAACCACCCTTTACACCTCCACCACCCTCTCACTCTCCTCCCATCTCCTCCGTACCCTCGCAACGATTGCAGTGCTTGTCGACGACCTTGCAATGGCTTCACTTACAATTGTTCCATTTGCGATTTCAATCTTGACTTGATGTGTGCGTTTTTGGTTCAGAAGATCGAACTCAATTTTCACGAACACCCTTTGATTCCAATTCAAAGGCCAGCCTTGTTCTTGTGCGATGCTTGTGGAATTAAACACGAAGGTTCGTCGTATCAGTGTGGGACTTGTCAATTCTGGGTTAATCAGAAATGTGCTTCGTTAATGGGTACAATTAAACACAGTGATCACGATCATTTTCTATCTCTTACCTATTCTCTTCCGTACGAAGATTATAGATTCAAATCATACTGTGACATTTGTTCTAAGAAAGTGAACAGAGCGAACTGGGTTTATTGTTGTGCTGAATGCAAGTATTGTGCTCATGTGAATTGCGCCACATCGAAATCGAAGCTGTCTCGGTTAGCCGTTCTTTTATTTATTCTCTCAATGTTGTTCTATTTTGATTTTGAGCTAAATGTTGTTCTATTCTTGATTCTGTTCTAATTTGGATATTTGATTGACATTCTGTTCTTGTTTTGTTCTAATTTGGATATTTGATTGACATTATATTCTTGACTTTGAGCTAAATTGAATAGCTACTCCCCAAACAAGGCCTGAATATTTGATTGTTTGGATATTGGATATTTGATTGACATTCTATTCTTGATTTTGTGCTAATTTGGATATTGGATATTTGATTGACTTTTTTTTCTTGATTTTGTGCCTGTAGGGATCATAAAATAAGACACATTGACCAAAAAATAGAGGCCAAAGAACTTGAGGGCAATCTGATTTGCTTGCCATTGACTGATGAATCTGTTAATGGGATTCCCAATTTTACGAAGCCAGCACAGATGTATCATGTTTGTCATCCCCATCCATTATATTTTGCTGATATGCAGATCAATGATGGATCATATTCCGAGAGTAAATTGCTGGTTTGTGATGGGTGTTCAAAACCCATCTCAGCTCCATTATACCGTTGCACTGAGTGCAACTCCTCTCTCCATGAGTGTTGTGCTAAGTTACCCATTGAAGTGCGACATCCACTTCACCTCCAACACCCACTCATCTTGAATAGATGGCGGTCTGGATATTCTGATCCCCCCTCGTGCCAAAGTTGCAAAATGCGTTGCAATGGGGTTTTGTTCAGTTGTTTAGCCTGCAATTTCTTCCTAGACATTGAGTGTGCTCTCCTGCAAGGTCTTATTGTACATGAAGCTCATGAACACACCCTTGCTCTAAGGAAAATTTCGAATGTTCAGTGTGCTGTATGTGAGTATACGTGTTCCGGGGTTGCGTTTGTTTGTGGAAATTGCAATTTCAATATACACTTGCGATGTGCCTTTTTGCCACGCACAGTTAGGCACAAATGTGATGAACACCCCCTCACCCTAGCCTACTCTGCTGTCAAAGACAATTCAAATGAGTATTACTGTGAAATATGCGAGGAACAGCTAAACACAAAATTCTGGTTCTATCACTGTGGTGATTGTAATCAATCTCTTCAGATACAATGCATCCGTAAAGCTGATTTGCAGGGCAGCTCCCTTTTTATTTTCAAACATGAAGCCCATATGCACACCCTTGCTCTCGAGGCAACATTGGATTTCCGGTGCAGTGGATGTAATTATAATTGTTCTGGAGTTGCGCTCATATGTGACATTTGCGATTTCAAGTTAGACACACGGGGTGCCTTCTTGCTGCGTACAGTTAGGCACAGATATGACAAACACCCTTACAACCTAACCTATTCTGGCAATCCAGAAGAGTATTATTGTGACATTTGTGAGGGTGAAATAAACCCACAGTGTTGGTTCTATCACTGCAGTGTTTGTGACCAGTCTCTTCATACAATATGCGTCCAAGTTGATGAATACTCAGCTATCAAGATTGGGGATGAGCTCAATGTTGGAGGCCACCCACACCTTCTTACTTATGTTCGATACCATAAGGATATCTCCCCATGCAACCGTTGTGGTGAACTTGTCAAAGGTTCAGGCTTTGAATGTGCACCTTGTAATTTTAGGCTCCACATACCTTGTGCTCGTAATGCAGCAAATGAGAGAATGTTGTCGCTACAACAAGAACGTGAAGTAGCGATACTGGATTAAATGGCCTCTTTTCTGCATTTTATTATCAGACATTTATGCATCTAAGGGAAGGTGGAAGGATGTTGAGAGGAAACTGGTAAATGAGAAAAGGACTAGAAAACCATTTGGTTGCTGTTGGATCAAAGGTGAAGGTATGTTGGCAGATTTTTGTTCAAGATAGGCCTCGTGAGTCATGAAAACTGAGGAGATATATGAGACCCATCAAGCTCTTGTGAATCATTTGAAGGCTGAAGAGTAAGTACCAAAATTTGATTTTGTGCTCAGGAACATTGATGGTATGCAATGTTTTCCTCAGCAAATTGCTTCTTGCTTCAAGCTTCATAGGACTCTATGCCATCAAGATTGAATTTCATCATTTAGCAGCCTTGCAGTTGATGAGGACCTAGAAGAGTGGTAGATAGATGCTTTCATCTAAAATGCAGCATCTTATGATCACTGGTGGATGGATCATGCTTTCACAGTACAGCGTTTTTACTATTTATCTGTTGGATGAAAATTTGACAGCAGTGTAGTTCCTCTTTTCATTTTGGACTTGAGGTTTGCTCCATCATCTTTTTCAATAGCTGTTTTAAGCTAAATTTTATTTTTATGGTTGTTTTATGTCCTTTTAAGGTACATAATTTCTTTTACAAGGGGTAGTGAATCGTATCCAATACTGAATTGTAAGATTCACTTTATTTGATATGATAGATAATTTATATATGTGTATCCATGTAAAATTACAGTGTAACTAAATTGCATATATAAAACCACTTACATCTATTGATCTTTTTTAAAAATTTTAAAAAAAAAAAGAAGAAAAAAAAAACTGATAAGGAGGCAAAAAAATGCCATTTCATACATTGTGCAAACAAAACTAAATATGAACTGAATCACAATTGTAACGAATCACAATAAATTGTAGTTAATCACGAGTTTAACAACCATGAGTTATTGTCACTTTTCATTACACACAGGAATCTGCCAACTGTTGCTATTAATTGATTAAAGGTCATCATAAAAATGGTTGTCTTTTTATCCCAAAAGGTCTTCAAATTCATGGAACTTGCATTCAGAGAAACACCCGGCTGCCTGTACTCCTTTTGTTCCAGGGCTCTAGATTGGTCACTACATTAATCACCAGAAGCTAGACCCCTAGACCCAGTGGCCAGAGGTAATGTTGTACATCCTCCAGTTGTAAATGTGCCTCAAGATCGTGCCGCTCAGTTTGATTCCAGAAGCCTGTAGGATTTTCAACCAGACCTCTGTTCTCAGTTTGCCACCAGTTTGGTGGGATCAGAAGATGATCTTTTAAGAAGCCACATGATTTGTTCACGAGTGCAAGGTCCCTTTTGTCGGTACGCACAATCTTTTGACCCTTCCCGCGGTAGCTGTTTCAGTTTGTATAAAACAATTTTAATTGACTTTATCAGACTTTCTCAGGATTCATTCATGATGAGCTTGGACAGCTCACTTGTTGATAGCATTACCAACTAAGAAGCACGGACAGAGGCACAGACACATACACAACATAGGTTTGCGGACATGCAAGTTTTCAAAATATGCAGGACAGAAACGCTAGAGACCGCGTGTCCCCAATGTGTCTGACACTGGTATGTGACCTCCGGAGAGGTGTCCATGCTTCAAAGCTAACCAATCAACTAAAGAAAAAATTACTAACCCATCAAGCAAATGCAGGAGAGCCTCCAAGTTATGGTAGCATGCTAGGTCACTTTTTTCTTTCAGGAAGTGAGACCACTTGTGATTCAAAGCAATTTCCACTCCAACATGTGAATAGCACCAAGGCAACATTTCACCCACCTGTTGCATCATCGGAGGCACTTGCTCGTTGAAAAATATCCCAGGTACTTTAGGCACCTTGTCATGAACATTCCTTACCCTTAGCACCTTTACCCCTAGCTCTTCAAGCCGCTCCTTAAACCTATCATTCCCCACTCTGGGGCCTGAGAATGAGTACACACATATGGGCGCAACCCGCCCATTATCCATGACATCTACCCCGGTCTCTGCTATGTCATATGCATTTATGGTTGCTAGTGCACTTCCAAGGCTATGCCCAGTGATTGTTATGCTCAGTTCTTCATCTGCATATTTTTGAATCAATCTCTTGACTTCTGCTAAAATCTGCTCTCTTGCTGAGTACTTGCAGAATTTGCAAGTGATATCCTTATCTGTGTAGACTTGGATGAATCCAGCCTCAGCTTTGACTCTTGAATCTGGTGAAGGGATCTTTTCATGTGAAACTGACTTTAGATAGTCAGTGAAGTCTGCAATCCACTCGAGCTTTGTTTCTGTGCCCCGCCAAGCAATGGTTATGTCCCGACGCCCCAAATAAGCTGAAGTTTCATCATTTGAAACTGCTACATACCCAATCCAATTTGCTGATGGTCTCCATCCATTGGGCGACAGGGTTTTCTTGAACAAGAATGGTAGATTGACGTTGTATGAGGCATAGTTGTAACGGGTCACTTCGTAGCCATACTGTTTGTAGCCAAGATATTGGAAGAACTTGCTAGGTTCGGTTTTACAACTTCCACAATACTTGGAGTACGGATCTGAATCAAATGCATCATAGCATGCTTGTGCCATCTCCCCATAGCGTATTAGCTCAGATCGCAAGAGGGGGTCAATGGGATCAAGCATGCCATCCCAATCATGTTGACCGTGGATCTCTTCCCAAGAGTCTGCTAACCTTCTGTTGGGCGTTTCAGCTATCAATTCTTCTCCACCCAAATATCCATTCTTTTTCTCTTTTTCAAGATCCGAGACTGCAATGGTGGAGTCATTTCGAGATGCCACCCCACTTATTATGGGCATTCTAGTTGTGTCTCCTCTTCTTGATAGCCCCAGAGAGGTCCATTTCCGATCTGAATTTGGAGTTGTAATGGGTTTTTTGGACCGGAAGGTACCACTATGGCCTCGCTTGATAGGCATGCCCATCTTGGATAGAGGGATGGCCATTGAACTTTGTGGTAGGGCAGCTCAAGCTGATAATGATTGTACTGAAATAGGGTTGTTGAAGTTGGAATACAAAAGAAGGAAGTGTGATGTTATATGCATTCTCTATTGCAGCTATATATAGCCAATATGGATAACTTCAAGTAAGCTTTGGTCATCTCTAGTCTTTTTATAATGATTATTTCTAACATACTTGTGAGGCTGATTGTAGTGACCATTTTTTGTTAAACTTATGTATGTTGAATTATATATTGGTCTCAAATTCTTTTATGATTCAGTGATATTGTTGAGTTCCCTCTATGACTCTGCTGAGTTTGGCATCTGTTGTTGAATCTGACTTTTTACATAACTCGGACAGGGTTATGTTAACTCAGGGTTGATTTAGTTAGGTGAAAGCTTACTTGTGGGGTTTCATTCTTTATGAGCATGTTAGAATAATATGTAATCCATATCTATGATTGGCCTTCCCGGTTGTTGAATCTTCAAATGACAGCCAATCTAATAACTGGTTGGCAGTCCAATGTAGTATAAAAATGATAACATAGTAATCAAAATGACGATATATTTAAAAAAGGTTGAGAATCCCACCATGTTTAGTTTCTTGTGATTCCAGCATTTTGCTCTTAAAAAGTATTTTAATGTGAGAAAATGGAGTCATTCCTAGTCTTTCAAATGAAATTTACTGAACGGAATAAAAATACATCTTTATCCTGGCTGTGCTCTTTTTGGGGATATTAAACTTGATTGATATTATAATACCAAAAATGCTTGGAACACAGAAGCTAAACACAGAATAGATCACAGACACTAACATGATTGTACTGAACAGGATTGAATTGGAATACAAAAGGAGGAAGTGGTGTTATATGCATTCTCTATTGCAGCTATATAGAGCCTACATGGGATGAACTTCAAGTAAGGTTTGGTCATCTCTAGTTTTTTTTTTTTTTTTTATTATTATTATTATTTCTGGCATACTTGTGGGGTTGGTTGTATGACCATTTTTGTTAAAATTAAGTATGCTGATTAATATATTAATCTCAAAATTCATTTATGATAAAGTGAGATTGTTGAGTTCCCTCTATGACTCTGCTGAGTTTGGCATCCGTTGTTGAATCTACTCGGTCAGGATTATGTATTACTCGGGATTGTTTAGTCAGGTTAAAGCTTGCATATGAGGTTTTGTAGACTAAGTTGCAAATTTATTAACATGTTCTTAGAATAACAGGTTAGTCCCTGTCTCTGAGCTTGGCCTTGCTGATGTAGTTTGTCATTTATTGAAACTTCAAATGACAGCTGGCCTTAACTGTTGACCTTCCAATGTATAAAAAATGATAATATAGTAATCAAAATGATGAAACATTTTAAATGTTTGAGAATCTTACTTTGTGTTAGCCTTCTTGTGAAGCCAACATTTTCCTCTCCGCTGTATTTTAATGTGAGAAAATTAACTTGATTGATATTATTATATGAGAGTGAACTGAATAAAAATCTATTTATTGATGTATAAAATAGTGATAAATTTCGTCTCACCCAAGGGATGTAGAGATGCCATTTTTGGCGAAAACAGCATTTGTGTAAGAGTGTATGGTGCAATTCTACTTATTATGAAACAAAAATAGTTTAAATAAATCAAAATTTTGATTATGTAGTGAAGGAACAACTTATGAGATAAAAATAATTTCAATAAATTAAAATTTTGATTATGTAGAAGGTGAAGGAGCGATACTTATAATTTCTCCTTTTTAATTGTTGACTTTCAACTTGCTAACAAGGCCTACATGTCTATTGTTTGTATGTGCATTAGGGTGCTTTGCTGAATCAAGTTGAATTTTCTATAATTGTATTACAGAGTTGACAACCCAAATGGGAAACGAAAAAGAAAGAAGGGGAGGGGGGCTGGGGAAGGGCACACTTATGATTGATTAAAAAAATGGGTCTGGCTTTCAGTCTCAGATCAAACTAGAGGGTGTTATTGGGTCCGTGGAGGCCCACCATGGATCCCATTTCAATAATCCAAACTGTTAAATGTATAGAACTTGTCAAGTACTATATGTCTGTAAAAAAATTACGTTGATCAAATATCGATTGCTATCTCATCGGCACAATTTTCTATCAATCATTTATTTTTTCACTGTGTATTTTTTTATATACAAAACTGATTTGATCACGTAGTTATGAATATTCGATCAACGTTTTTTTTACAAGCATATAGTACTTGACGAGTTCTACACATTAAACGATTTGGATTATTGAAACGGAACTCGTGGTGAGCCCTCACAAGCCCAACAATATCCTCCAATCCAATATAGGGCTAAATGGAAGCCCGTGCCTAAAAAAATGATACATTTTGTGGCACCGACGGATGTGAAGGTGCCATTTCAGGCAGAACAATTGTCTTGGAAATTTGTGCAAGAATACTTGGTGCGGTTTATGTTTACAAAAATGACTTAGACTCTCATCACCCCCCACTAATTTTTGATTGATTGAATAATTTTTTTATTTTTTTATTATTTTTGGGGGTCTTTCTCTCACTGCCCCCACGTGTATGTGGAGGTGCTGGGGTCACCCCCCAATGGGAGTCTGGAGCACTGCTGTTATGTTTATTACTTATGAGACAAAAAAAAAAAAAAAAAAAGTTAAAATTTAAATAAGTTAAAAAAATTAAACATTAATATAGTGATGAAGGAATACTTTTAGTTTTTATTTTTTAATTATTAATTTTTAACTTAAAATAAATTGCGTGAAATAGGACCTACATATTTGTGTTTGAAACTGCATTGGGGTGCTTTGATGAACAAGTTGATTTATTTGTTTATTATTTTTCTATGATTATACTGAGTTGACAAGCCAAATGGGAAAAGAAATTTTTTTATAAAAAAAAATCACATTTTGTACTCCCTCCGTCCCGAAATATTAGTCCCTTATTCCATTTTTCATTGTCCCAAAATATTAGTCCCTCTTCAAAAATCAAGTACAAAAATAATATAAATTTCCTATTTTGTCCTTCTTTTAAATTAATAAACAATATAAAAAGTACAATTATGACATTGATTTTTTCAAAAAATGTACTATCAAAAGGGTAATTTTGGAAAGTCAACTTTTTAAAAATCCAATGATTGTACTACCAAAAAAAGTTGGATTTCCCAAAAGGGACCATTATTTTGCGACGGAGGGAGTATTGATTATTTTCTTGTTGGGGTCTGGAAATCAACACTGAAACAAGGCAAGGATAATATAACACAGGAGAGTTGGCTTCTTAGTCAACTTTGAATTAAGAGATGAGAACTGCGGCTTTTAAATGTGCTTGCAAATTTACATAAAATACAAATCTATATTATATATATAAACAAATGTATTTGCTCTTAGTTCAACAAATCTTCATTCTTAATTTTTTATAAAATTTAAAATTTTAAAAAATTATGTGACGTTTATTTTTAAGCTAAGTTTCTCAGTAATGCCTCTCCCATTACTTCCATTTAAATAAAAACTCTTTTTTAAAATAATTTAATAATAATAATATGTTCTTGGAATAATAGTTATTCAAACACAAACTTATCAACAAGAAAAAAAAAAAATCTGAAAATTCAATAATATTTGACTTGATAATCTATAGGCCTCCAAAAATCTTCATTCCTTTTTCTGTTTTTTAAGAAAAAATTTTAAAAAAATTATGGGGCACTTATTTCTAAGCCAAGTTTTTTCCAAAAATTCAGAAGTATTTGAATTGAAAATCTATAACTTATCAATAAGAAATAAAAAAGAAGTTGGAAAATTAAAAAGTATTGGAATTGAAAATTTATATAAAGATAATCCATATCTATCATGAAGGGGTACTTACATGTAGGCTTTAATAAGTGAACTTATTGTCTAGTAGGTCCTATGAAAAAAATTAGTCATGAAAAAGTCACTAATTTTAAGTTTTAGCGACAATTTATAAAAATCATGACAAAAAAAATCACTAATTGTCAATTTTTAACGATATAAAAAATTGTCACAAAAAAGTTATTTTTTGCGATAATTTTATCAAGACTTATTTTTAATAGGACTTGATAGGAATTAAGTCCAATTATTAAGACCTATTGATAGTTTACCCAAAATTCAAAATAAAGATAATTTTAATTTAAATTTGAATATATAAAGATAGTCTATATTATCCAATCTCACATCTTTCTCCTCTTATATAAACGGTTATGTCTCAATTGATTGTACACATGCAAAATTATTGACCAAATCAAATCGAGTTATTCATATTCAAGTCTAGAATTTATAAAATTATTGACCAAATCAAATCGAGTTATTCATATTCAAGTCTTGTGATTAGCCCATCTATCTATCTATCTATCTCTTTCTCTCTCTCTCTCTATATATATATATATAAAATAAAATTTTATATTTTTGAGGTATGAGTGAAATGTTTCACACATTTGTAATTTTTGTCTAAATTAATTTTTTTTGTGCAAGTGACATAATAAATTTATTTATTTTTAATATAATACTCGAGTTTGACGGCTAGAAAGATTTTGAATCTTACAATTTCTTTTTATTGCATCAATGTTAAATATTATGTACCAAAATTGAAAAAAAAAATGTGTAAGCATATTATTTGTGTATCATTTTCATAAAGAATTTCCCACCAAAATACAAAATTTTCTCTCATTTAGGAATTTCAGATTAATTTAACACTAATCAAAATTAAAGGGGGTCAAGGGGATGACTCCCAAAGGGGGTCTCAACCTTTATTCATAAATATAATACCAAGCTAGACGGTTAGAGAGTTTTTGAATTTCTTTTTATTGCATCAATGTTAAATATTATGTACCAAAATTGAAAAAAGAAAAAAAAAAGAAATGTGTAAGCATATTATTTGTGTATCATTTTCATAAAGAATTTCCCACTAAACTACAAAATTATCTCTTATTTGAGAATTTTAGATTAATTTAACTTAGTCATCGAGTATTTACTATATTTTTGTGCTTAAAATTTTATCTTTTGAAAAGAGAGTTGTTTTGAGATTTGTATGCTTTTATGTAACATTTAATTTTGTGTATCTTTATGCAATTCTAATGCATTTTTATTTTCTACATTCGGTATTGAATATATATATATATATATATATATTTTTGGATAAGAAACTTTAGTAATTGAGTCTTTTATTTTGTATTGTTTGTGGGTTGGCAACAGAATTTTTTATTTAATATTTTTTTTTCCCTTCATAGAAAAACAGAGTTCTCAATTATATGTACTTATTGATGTTTAACTGTAACTTTTTTTTCCATTTAAAAAGAAAAAAATTGCAATTTTTTTTATGATTTATTTGTTTGTTTAATTAAATTACTTTTTTCATTTTGTTTTGGTTATCAAAAGTCCATCGAAAATAAATGAAAAAAGATAGCTAATGCGGATGATATTAAATCTAAAATCATAACACTTCCTATGTTTTGCAATTATATTTTTAGATTATTCATTTAAAACCATATGAGCCCATACATTACACAGATTACCGCTAATATATATATATATATATATATGCACACGTGTGCGCCCCCTCTAGAAATGAGTGGATTTATACCATAATACTACAAGTCATTTTTTAATTTTGTAAGCAAAGGACAAGTTGCAATGTATGATAACCTAAACCCTTTTTTATTTTATTTTAATTTTTAAATAGCTACCATCAAAGGAAAATTTTACTTGCACAATACATTTATCTCTTTACCATCTCCTTTTTTTTTTTTTTTTTTTTTTCAATTTCACCCATATGTGAAATTACTTTTAAAGATAAAAGATAAAAATTAAATAGATTTAATTATTTCTTTACACTTATTACACTTCAATCCATGCTTCTTTTCTTCCTTTCTCATTTCTTTTTTCCTACTATACAACTAATTTTAAAAAGTGAGAATTATAGTGTTTTGATCATAAAATAAAGCAATAGATGAATAATGGTGATGAAGGGCCACCAAAAAAGTGAAATAATGGTGATTTTTTTTTTTTCCCCCTTTGTTTTTTATGTTTTCGTTTTGTTTTTGAAGAGAGTTGTTCAACTTTTATTCGGTGTATCAGAATCAAACAAAATCAAACAGCCCCTGGAATCACACTACTGAACAAAATACATATCCAATAACCTACTGTCGAACAAAAAATATATATCCGATAACTCATTACTAAACATTTCCATTTTTATTTTTCTGACATTTTAATTTTTTTTTTACTTTGAAGGATTACGTTTCTTTTTATTGTGGTAAGATGAGTAGTGCATTGTTATGGATTACAGTTATGAATTCATTACAGACAAGATTTGTTAGATTTATCTGTTTTCTAGTCATCCAATACCTTCGAAAACAAGTAATAAGATTTGTTTTCATCATCTATTAATTGCTTTATAATTAAAAATTAAAAAAAAAAAACGACGACAACAACAACAACAAAACTTCTAGTGTTATTTTTTTATTTTATTTTAAATTTTTCTTAAACCTTT